CGGCTTTTGACTCATCCAGCCTGGCATTTCACATGATGTACTCTGCACAGAAGTTAAATAGAGAGGGAGACAACGTACAGCCTCGTCTACTCCTTCCCCAACCTGAACCAATCGGTTGTGCCACGATTGGTGCTAACTTTGCTGCTGGGCCCACAGACAGGCTCCTCAGGAGACAAGGAAGATGATCTGGTCCTCCCGTCTCATTCCGTTGTGATCCGCACAGTCAAAGGCTTCAGTGCAGTAGATAAAGCAGAAGCAGATGGTTTTCTGGAGCTCCCTCGCCTTCTCCAGAATCCAGCCAATGGGGCAATTTGCTCTCTACTTCCTCCGCCTCTGCGAAAACCAGCCTGCTCTCCTGGCGATTCTTGGTTCTCCTCTCGCTGAAGCTGGCCTGCAGAATCTTAACCTTGCCGGCGGGTGACACGAGCACAGATGTTCGGTAACTTGAACATTCCTCGGCATTGCCCTTCTTTAGGACTGAGACAAAACCTGATCTTTTCCAAACCAGGGGCAGCTGTTGAGTTTCCCAAATTTGTCCGCATATTGAGCACAACGCTTTGACAGCGTCATCTTTTAGGATTTTAAGAAGCTCAGTTGGAATTCCATCACCTCCCCATGGCTTATTGTTAGCAATGCTTTTGTGCCTCCATCTGTGATAGGGACATTGGAAGGGAGACAGAGTGCTGGGAAACAAGAATGCCTTTAATTTCAGACAGGTTGAATCCAAGATATTTAATGGACATCCGGTTTGAGATATCTGAAAGGCAGTTGGAGATGCCAGATTGGAGGTCAACAGATAGGTTAGGGCAGGGTGAAGGATTTGAGAATCCTCAGCGTAGAGATGGTCATTAAATCCTTGGGAGCTGATGAGATCACCAAGTGAAGCTGTATAGAAGGAGAAGAGAAGAGGACCCAGGACAGAGCCTGAGGGACACCTACAGCTAGAGGGTGTGATCTGGAGGAGAATCCAGCAAAGGGGGCAGAAAAGGAGGAGGAGAACCAGGAGAGTAGGGTGTCCTGAAAACCTAGAGAGGAGAGAGGATCAGGAGGAAAGAGTGACCCACAAGGTCCAAGGCTGCAGAGAGGTCAAGGATAAGGATTGAGCAAAGGTCATTAGATTTGACAATTAAGAGATTGTTATTAATAACCATTAGCTTACTCCCTATTTTATTGAGAAATAGGTTAGCTTCCTTTTCTACTTGTGCCCTTGAGCCCCTCCCCTCTTCCTCTGGGAGGCTGACCTCTCAAACCTTTGCCTTCTCTCCTCTTCAATCTCTTTATATCCACTGGTTCCTTCCTTGCTGCCTACAAACATGCCTAGGTCTAAAGCAAAACTAAACAAAACAAACACTAAAAAAAAACCAAAAACCAAAACCTTACCTTGATCCTGCCATCTCGTCTCCCATTCACAACCTAAATCTAGAATGTTCTCTGCCCTGGATGCCCCCATTTCCTGGCCTCTCCCTAGTCTGGTACCTCCTTACAAGCTGGCCTTTCGACTTGAAGCGCTCTCGCTAAGGTCATCAGCAGTCTGCTCCGTCCAATGTCCCTTTTCCACTTCATAGTCTATGAAGCCTCTATGCTGCTTTTGACACCAAGGGACATTCATTCGTACCTTCCTGGATATCCTCTCCTCCCTTGCCTCCTGACACACTGCTCTCTTCTGATGCTCCAGTCAATGATCCCATCATCATAGATTTAATTCAATTGAAATTTGACAAGCATTAATGAAATGTCCACTGTGTGGCAGGTGCTGGGAAAAGGTAAAAGGCACAGGATAGTAGACTCCTGGACCCATGTCCATAGTTGAGAGTCTGGGTTCAGATATGGCCTCTGCCACTTGTGACTGGAGTGACCCAGCTTCTCCGGTCCTGTTTCCTCAACTGTAACACGAACAGTTGGACTACTTCCAAAGGTCCATTTTATCACAAGTTATGATCCATGAAACAGCCCCCCAATGCTAATTTTTGGTCTAGACCTGGGAGTTTATTAGTGTTAGCAACTCCAGGTAACCTGAGGAATTCCCTATTCGGTCAAAGTTGGGGATAGAGAGTAGTTTGGGACGGAATAAGATCTCAGGTAGTCTGCCTGGTGCCACAGAGCCAGTGACGTGTCAGGGGCAGAATCTGAGCCCCCTCCCCCCAATTTAAACTTCACATTTCTAATATGATCTGGGACCAGGTCATAAAGGTTGCTCGAGTACAACGCATGTTGAAAAGACAGAAAGAGCCAAGATCTTCAAAACTGGGTAGCAAGATTCAATCTTTTTTCCAACGTGTTTTCTGCACAAATCTAGAGCATCCAAGGACACCTGAAAGCCGAAGAGAGTGCCACTCAGATTTTCCTCCCCAGGAGGCAGAGGATGAAGGACATGGCCGAGGGGACCATCTAATTCCACAGGAAAACCAACCAAACCAATTTTTACTAACTGTTTAAGACTTATGGGCAGGGAAATCTTTCCCAAAAGTTTCCAGTGGAAGAGAACAAAATGTTTCCAAGTACACTAATAGAAAGAGAAGAACCCAGTGGCAATTCCATCACACTGCACTTTTGCCCTTGGAACATCCTTGGAACAAGAACAACTGGGATGAAGGAGCCAGCACAGGGAAACGCCTGGGGACAACACTCTCATGTCAGCTCTCCACACTTCTGCTCTCTAGAGTTTTAACAGCTCCTAGCAACATGACTTGTAAGGAACAATATCCCAATCTGCACCAGGGAGTGGAATGGCCCAGGCTAGCTCAGTGGAGCTGAAAGCCTGCAAAGTCCTTCCAAGAAGGCAAGGCTCCCTAGATGGACCTAAGGCATCTCTGGGCCCCAAACTGGGTTCTCCAAAACGAATCACCAGACAAAATACCCACCTACGTCAATCCATGTCCCGCCTGCTTTCACAGGGATGGTGGCAAAGTAATGGGGAGAGGGATCCTCAGAGCTTGTGAGAGCCTGCCTCAAGGTCGGGAAGAGCTGGGTTAAGGTCTTCCTGGCTCCTTCTTCTTTGCTCTAAGGCAACCCTCTACATCGCAGAGAAGGTGCCAGCCTGCACTGGTCCCTATCCCTCTGGTCCATGACTTCTTAACCTCTTTTAGTATCACAGACCCCTGAATAGGGCTGGAAAGGAAACCCATTACATGGAAAGTTACCCAGATATATTTAACCTCCACCCCACTAAGTTCATGGATGCCAGGTTAAGAATGCCACTGCTAGGATAGGCTGTCCTTATACTGAGGGACACCATGCATCTCCTGAGAAGTGATTTCTAAAGGGAGAGAACACTGACCAGTAAAGTAATGAGGGAAGGCTTCTTTTACCATCGAGTTGTCTTCTGTAGATTAGTGAGGGCAAGAAAGAGACAGAGAGAGACAAAGACACAGAGAGAGACAGAGACAGAGATAAAGAGACAGAGAGACAGAGACAGAGAGTGTGTGTGTGTCTGCAATCACCACAGTGGTAACCGTGATGGTGGTCTGGACTTTTGTTCTTGAATACCTACAGGGACCCAGATGATGACGGCCTTGAGGCTGCTGGGTAGATTCTTTTGAAGGATTTATTAAAGACCTAAGTCAGGATATCCCAGGAGGAGAAGATAGGGAAGGATTTGCCCCATGTTAGAGGAGAGAGCAGACTCACCAGTGAAACCCCACAAAAGCAGCTATCATGGAGGCATCCGTGGAAGAAAGACTCCTAATACAGGGCAGATTTTTACTGAACTAAAAAAAAGGATAAAAACCTTTCCCACAGACTGTTTCTTCATAGATGCCAAGGACAGAGAGATTCTGGCTTGTCTCTCATTACACCTGAACACACCAAACAGATGCCAATTAACTCTCATAATATTTCTCGTTGATCTCCCTGAAACAACCACAGGCCAACGATGGGGCCAAGCAGGCTGGCTGTCTACCTCTTAACAAAATGAGATGAACTACTCAACCTACTGTTGGTAGATCCCCTTCCCCGACTAGAATGCTGCCTTTTAAGATTCACTGATGGCTAATTTCACAGAATTCATGTTTTAAATAAAATATGGAAAAATGTCCAAATACACAGTGAAGATTCAGTTAAACATTTAAAATTTATTAAACTTTTTGATCAAAATAGTTGAACAAGTATATACAATCCCATTGTGTTAGTATTGAAGTGTTAGGAACAAGGTAAGCCCCGCTGCTTCTACACCCCCGCTCTTCCCCCTTGGACTTGTGAATGGAGTCACAGCCAAGAGATACGGGAGTACGAACTTCTTTTAAACTCTCGGTTTGTTCATAGCTTAGGGGGGCTCCACGGACAGAGCGAGGGACACAAAATGAGGTCGAGACACACTTTCATTTGCACCACGAGCAGAATTCGCAGCTCCTGCCCATGACATGAGAGGCACCAAGTCATGATTCTGGTTTATTCCTTAATTGCCCGGCAGTATTTCCATAGCACCTATCACCCATAGACTTTTATACCTGTATTAGTCTTGGGATGTCCTGATTCCTCACGTCAAATATTTTACTCTGCTAATAAAATCTTTACGAATTCATACTGATGGTTTAGCATAACAAATTCTATACTCTGGCTTGAATTGCAATATGAAATTCAGCATGCAGATAACTGTACCAATATTTTAAATGGCATATCCCTCCCTTCCCCACCCCCCAAGTACTAAAAAGGTTAAAAAGGAAAAAAACAGCAGATGACATCAGGTACCCCAACTGTGGCAACTCTGAGGCAGATTGAGAGCCAGCTATTTTTAGTATCGCAGCAGCAGCGACTCTGGTCATTACTGGCTGTTAGCGGCCTCTCCTCCTCAGCTCCTTGCGGCCGGAGAACCGAGCACACCCTAGCCTGATGGCACACAATCATAACAACACAAGCCCTTGTGGTGGTGGGGAGAGCACTACACACAGCATTGTTTTGTCAATGATTCAGGACAAAAACTGGTCATAGCTTCCCATCAGGATAACTTTGCACAATTTCAAATAATGCAATACAAGAAAATAAAAAAACTGATTCAATACTTCCAGATTTCAAAACACCTTTTATAGTTTCTTATTTTTATTAAGTGGTTACACCAGAAGGTGTGATTAAATACAGTGGGAGAGTAAATACACATGAAAAACCTGCTGCCGGACCCAACTCAAGCCCGACCTAAGCATCCAATGGTAAAATCACCCGAGATCCAGACGAAGGCCAGAGAAGGAATGTTTGTATCGTCATAACGCACAATATATGTTCTGAAAGGCCCAAATATTACAGCACAGAGAAAAAAGAGAGAGCAAGAGAAAAAGAAAGAGCTTTGACAGCTTTTCTCTTGAGTGCTGGATTTTTGGTCTATAAACTAGAAAGGAAGGCTCAGACTTGGATAAAGGCCTTTACCGAGCACTGTCCACCAACCTTGCTTCTCATGGCTTCTTCCCACCTCAGTGAAGGCAGAATGACCCCCTGAACCCAAACCAGGCCAGCTTCTTTCCTTTACCTATCAAGGGACGTGAGTGCATCAGTGCTCTTCATGGAGAGGACAAGAATGTCTTTTCTTTGAACAGAAAAGCGACCGGGCTTCCCAAGGCAGGAGTAAGACAATGTCCCCAGATGTGTCTCTAGTTGACTTTGTCCTGGAATATGTACAAGTTGTTGGTGGCTGCGACGGCGATGATATTCTGGAGGGGGTGCCATGCCGTGTGGAGGATCTTTTTGTTAAAGTCCAGACTGTCCACGCTGATCTCATCCTTCTTCCTCTTGCCCCCAGTACACACTTTGCGAGGCTTTAAGATGGCCCGAGGTTTGCTGCTTTCTCTTGAGGCTTCCAAAGTAACATCCCTCCGAGTGCTTCTGTCAAACATTCTGAAGAAATTGTTGTATGACCCAGTCATGAGGGCGCTGTTGTTGAGCAAAAGAAAGGGAGATCTTCCTAAGTCATAGACTCCCTGGGCCTCTAGGCCATGCCCTGATGCACACACTGAGTCCCCAAGCGGGCCCTTCAGGCTGGAGCTCAAGTCGAGAAATCCCGACTCCAAGCCTCAAATTCTCATGCATTAAGACTCTGCCCGAGGGGCATGGGGACATTAGCACCACAGACTAATTTTCATAAAATTTTATATAATATCTGACTTCTTCAGAGACTAGTCAGAAATGTTCTTAACACGTACAATGAATCAGTCCTTGAGAGGCAGCACAGGGCAGTGAACGCTCCGGCCAGGGGACCCCGACAAAGTCACTTTCCCCTCACTGCTCTCGGCACCTCTCCCAGACTGGGAATTCTGCTCTTCTAGCAGTACCCTATCCCAATCAGACCTGGGTCGAGGCCCTGCCCATGGAGACAGAGGGAGGAGCCGCCATCTCAAGGGAGCAGGACGGGCAGGTGCTTTACAGGCTATCAGAGGGACTCAAGTGGCCTTCTCCCCAAGGGCATCCTTAGAAAGGGACCTCTCCCATCTGGGCTCAGGCAGCCCCCGTCCCCCCAACAGGGCTGAGAAGATCCAGCAGAACACTGAGCTGAGACCACGCAGAGGCAGGTGGGTGGCCTCCTGGAGAGGGTGCCAGGTGCGTTACTTGATTCAAGACCACCCCTCCCCTCCCCCGGTCTCCCAGCCCAACAGAGAAGGAGAATGGCTTTTCCCCGGGGGTCTCCTTGTCTGCTCAGATGCGGCCTCCCTGGGGACTCTGCTCAACTTACCCATCAGAGCCATTCCAGCAGCACTCAAACTTGTCAAAGATGCAGTCATTCTCATAGAGAGAACAAAGCTTGCTCCGGAGATATTCGTGAACCTGAGAGCGAGAGCACGTCCCACATGACAACACTGAACTCTTCAGGAAGAGAAAGGCTTCCTAGACCCCGCCCCCACTCACCTGATATGTCTCCACAGGCCTGGTTTCCATGTTGAGATCCCACACTTTGACTGAAAGGTAGTCTCTGGTCATCATGTATCGGCCACTGTGACTAAACTTCACATCAGATATTGAAGAAATGATTTCTGAAAAGAATGACCTACTGCTGGGATCTTCAGGCTCCTCAAAAACTGCAAATGGAAACAGCAAAGAGTGTTGAGTGCCCACTCTGAAGTCAGGAGAGGCTCCTTCTCCAGGACCCTTCAGGGGGTGCCCTCAGCAAGTATCCGGGCTAGAGTTGTGTGGTCAAGGTCAATCGGTGGGTTTCTTTTCTTTTTACCATTTACTTTAAGCAAGACCTTCTCCTACGCTGGCAGCTGCCACTCTGAGTAAATAAAAATGACGGAATTTCAAACTCTTCTGCTCCTCTAATTGTGCATCCAGGCCCCTCTGACCCTTTCACATCCAAGCACTGAGAATCACTAGAACATCAGATTTATAATCCCCCCCAACAAATGGACGAGCAGACCTCTCAAGGAGGAGCCTGCTGTCCTTGGCCAGCGCATCTAAGCGCTGGGCAAGATTAACAAAGAATCTGTGAGTTCTCACTTAGGGAACCTGGCTAAGACTTAGCAGGGAAGCCTGAGGAAGGGGGTGAAGACAGAATCACTCAACTGTCCAGAATCAGAGGGCCCAAGATAAAGGTCCAAGGCTGAGTGTAAGCCTGGCTTATGTGGACTCTAAGTCTGGCATGTTAAAACCTAGGCCACTCTACATCCATGACCTCAATGCAAAAGACCAATGAAAAACCAGAATCAAGACCAGGGCCACTGGGCTTTGCCCACACACCTCCCAGGACTTCTCTGACCTCAACTCCTGGTGGTTGTTTGATTGGGGTTTCAGAGGACATTTGCACAACCACCAATTTTAGGCTGCGCTTGAGCCAAAGCCTGTGAGAAAGATCCCGCAGGTCTCCTATCACTGGTCACCAATGGCTTGCAAGATCATGAGCATGAGTTCTCCCCAAAGATCGTGAGGTTTCTTCCAGGTGGGGAGACCCTTAGGCTGACAGCCTTCCACACGGTGCTGAGCGAAACAAGGAGTCCGTCCAGACCAACTGTTTGGGCTGATGGGAAGTACCCCCGCCTGGGATTCTGAGTTAGCCCTTAAGTTTGACAAACAAACCCAGATACATTTAAGCACTGCAAGGCGTCATTTACTTTCCCAGCAGTCTGAGCAGAGATTATCCTGGCTGGGTGTCCATCCGGGGAGGGACGACCGCACTTCTGGAGGTGACACGATTCATTTACAAATGGTATTCTCTCATAGACACAGACTAACAGTCATTTGGTGATAATGAATCATCATTTCTTAGGTTCAAATGGGAAAAGAAAAAAAGGGCAATAACCACATTTATTTCTGCCCCCATGTATGTAATGCAGACCCATTCTATGGAAAATGAAGACCATTTCCCCCACAGTTTTCGAAATCAAATGATTCTCCCTTAATAGCTCACTTAACAAAGGTATTTTTAGCCCAGCAATACCAATAATGTGCAAAGAATACAGTTTTCACTGCATAGATTTCTTTTGGTTACTTACAGCTAAAAATCAATCTTGCTTTTCCCAGTCAGGGCTTCATCTAATTCAATGGCTTAAAACATTAGCTGTTCACTTAAACCTCAAAATGAACAGAGAATTCGGTTTGGTAGCTTAAAATGGTCACAAATGAAAGGAATTCTGGCAACCTGACCCCAGTTCTCAGCTATCTCTGATTAAGCGTAAGGTTCTGGGCAGAAGCCAGGCTCACAGATGCTCAAAACCCCACCCCATTTTTTCATATGTATTAAAGGGACAGGGATGACCCAAGTCAGTGGCTCACGTGGTACCCGTGAGGACAGGGGGCCCAGAACTCAACAATGAACAACACCCTCAGCTAAATGACCAGCTCCCTCCCACCCACGCCAACTCTGGGAGCACGTGAAGCCTTCCCTGCATTCATCCTTCCATGCTAACAAAGGGAAGCGCTCCTTCTCTCCGCAGACTGAACCTATGAAGGGAAAAGGTGGCGACTTACACTTGGAATGCCTGTCACACAAGGCTGAGGAGCGCATATCACAGAGCCTGACGGTCCCTTTGCTGCTGCTATACACAAACACGTTACACTGACGTGGGTGGAATTCTGCAGCGGTGATCACTTCCGTCAATTCCTCCATGTTCACAGGCTTAATATCGACAATGTCTGCAAGCATGCGGTTAAGGCAAACGGCAGTTAAGTTCTGGATGGCCATTAGGCAAGCGATCACCACAGCCCAAGGCCTGTCCTTCTACAAGCGGTTCTCCCCTGGGCGCCCCCAGAAGTTTCACCTGGAAGAGACTGGTTGTGGGGAAGGCGCACACCCACACAGAGTCTCGGCTCTCGACTCATTCCAGCCTCACCAAGGACACGTAGGAAGGGAGCCACTGGGCTAGCGAGCTGGTACGCTGATAGCCATCCCAAGGCACCCTACACATGATCCAGTCAAGCAAGAGATGGGCCCCAACAAAAGGAGAAGCCATTGACTCTAGATCCAGACAGAGTGGGGAGAGCCAGACAAAGGTCTCTGGCACAAAGTAGGCTTGAAACGGAATTCCTTCAAAGCACACTTTCTGCTCCAAAAAAGAACGGTCTGTTTCCAATAGTACTAACACTAGGCTGATGGCCCAGGACTACGTCATGAACCAGCAAGCCCTGGGCTCCAGCCTTTCCTCTGGGACTTCGGCTAAGTCTCTAAGCCTCTCAATGCCCTAGGAGCGAGGGCACAGAAAGAAGACGCTGAAGGTGGACAGGCCCCTTTCAGAGTGGACCACCAGATGGGGGAACACAGCTCCCACACAGCTACAATACAACAAAGATAACATGGGGCTGAGACTGGCACAGTGCGAGGTGAGGACCTAAGGTACAAAGGGCACTACGAACCGTAGGAGACAAACCAGGGAAGGCTGCACCGAACGGGTGCCATTTAAATTCAATAACGGGGAGAGCATGCCCAAAGAAAGCGCCCAGGCCGTGAACTGGATGATGGAGTGTCAGCGGAAGGAAAAGCAGCATCTGAGACGACGTCGAAATTACAGACCCAGACCCGGTCCCCGGGGAGCTTGAGCACCCCAGCAAACTGGACGATTGTGCCTCTAGACTGCCCCTTCTGAATTCCCCATTTCTAAGTCATCCTCCTCCTTGCGGTGTCTCAGCTTCGTTATGTGGACATTGCCCTGGCCCCCCCACTCGCCCACGCCCGCCCGGTCCCCAGACCCCAGCAGCTGTTAGAGAGTATCACCCTTGCCTTCACTGCCATCTTAGGCCAGCATCTCATCACCCAGACTATCCCCCTCTGTTTTTGTATCTCCAATGCCCAGCACAGTGCCTGGGCCGCAGGGAACACTGGGGAAGGAAGGAGTAAGAACAGCCTTAACCCTTTAAAGGGGACTGAATGTGACTCAGAAGGCCAAGGGAAGCCCCAGGAGGAGTCAGAGCCAAGGAGTGGCAATCAGGAAGAGGAGGGGCTCAAGGCACTGAGCAGCCAGGTGGAAGAGAGGCAGGGAGGCTTGAGTTTGAATTCTGCCTCAAACTACCTGCTGGGTGACCCTGGGCAAGTCACTTAACCTGTTAGCCTGTTATGGGGCTAGCACCTACCTCCTGGAGTTATTTTAAAGACCAAATGATATTTGTAGGGTTTTGCAACTGTCAAAACTCCCCCCGCCTGCTAACTGTACTAGTATTGACATTATAATTAATGTTGTGGAGGCAGAACACCAGGACGTGGTTTCCAGGTGTGAGGTTAACAGAGCCAGAAGAGTAAGCTCGAATTGGGGCCACTGACAAATAAGGAAGTTGGGGAGGCTAGTGGGTGTGTGTCCAGTAAGTGGCCTCATCCACAAAATGAAGGAGGCCTGCTTGGTGCCCTCTGGGACCATGGGTTAACTCACCTTTGGCACATGGGGCACCGAGGCAGAGACGGGTCTCCAGATTGACAGCCGGACCGCAGGGTTGGAGTCCAGGAAAGAGAGGAGGACCTTACCTGGGGGTGAGAGCAGCAGGCTGAGAGAGGCACTGATTGCCAAGGCCAAGTGGCAAAGACAGAATTCTGGAGGAAATCCCTAATTCCTCAGATTGGGAAAGCAATAAAAGGCCAGAGAAGATTTAGGGAGGGAGTAGAGGGGAATTTTAAAAGCCAGGAGAAGAGAATATTCTGAGGAAGGAGATGCCGCCAAGAGGTCGACGAGGAAGCCTGAAAAGAAAGATGCTGGCCGCCATTTGTGAGGGCAGAAGCCAAGTGACCAGGAAGGGGTCAAGAAGGGTGTGGGTGGTGGGGAAGGGGAGCTGGAAGCCACCGGAGACCTGTGCATGGGGGTGGGAAGGCAGGAATCCATGCTGAAGAACACCCAGATTCAACCAGACAGGCTTCAGTGGTGCCCCTGGCATGTGCTGGGGAGCCCTGCTCTCAAAAGAGCACTTGAGAGCTGGCAGAGACTGTGCATAGAAGTTACTGGGACAATCCCACCATTTTATGTGTGATGAAACCAAGCCCCACAGAGGGGAAGAGACTGGCCCATGGTCACATGGCCAAGTGGCACATTTGGAATATCAGCCTCATCAGCTGAGGCTGAAGGAAAAGTGGGAAGGTAAGAAATGGCAGGGTCCAGTTGGGGAGCATCCAGAGGGCTCGAATCTTCTGAGTGCAATGAAGGTGAGACATGGGGGCATCTGGGGGCTCTGTACCCACAATGACACCGGTCCTTGCCTCCAACTGCTGTAGAGCAGCGGGTCAGAGCCCGAGGGCTGGAAGCAACTGCCCAGGTCTTTTGTCCAAACCAAGCTCAGCTATTACACACCTAACACGGGGGCACCCAGCCACTGCCCGAAGCCCTCCCATGTGCAGCCCACAAGCTCTCAGGACGGCCCACTCCAGGTGCAGGAAGGTTTTTCCGCAGCTCCTTCCCATGGCTGCTGGCTCTGCCTCTGGGGCCAAACAAAGGACCTTTCCTCCATATGTCAGGCCTGTGAATCCCTGCCTCAGCCCTCGGGGGCCTCCTCTGAACGCTCTCCAGCCCAGAACAAAACAAGGTCGCCAAGGGGCAGGGAAAAACACCTGAAGTCAGTGGAACTGTCAGCATCTGACAAGAATAACAACAACTGTAAAGTTTATAAGGCCCTCCCTCGTTCAATTTCCCAAAAGAACTCTGGGGAGAATGTACTCAACCCTCATTTTAGAGATGAGGTCTCTGAGAAGCGAGTGATTTGCTCAGGACGAGGCAAGATTTGAGCCCAAGCCTGTTATACCAATTGTCCTAAGTGCTTCTGGAGAGCTCCGAGAACACCAGTCTTCGCTGACAAGTGAGATACCCATGTAAGAGAACAGGGCTGCCCTGGGTTGGAAGGCTCTCTGGGCCTTGCTCAGGCTCATCATCTGTAATGTGCAGGGGCCAGCCTCCATGGCCTCCATGGTCCCCTGGACTCTCCACCCACGATCCCATGAGATGCCCAAACTCTACATGGCTGTGGCCAGAACAGCTCTGCAGCCAGCCCAGGTCCCAGAATGGCACCAATGATGCTCAATTAGCAAGGGGACACTGTTTTTTACGGACGCAAAGTCACTGTCGGGTTGTCCGTGGATTCCAACGAAAGCTTCCACCATCTGGTCCAGCTGGACGGTCCTGCATGGTCAGAGCTAACACCTGACCTTCTTCGTTGCTGACCCTTTCTTTCTGCCTGATTCAGGCAGGACAGCTGGGCAATGGCTTTTCTCTGAGGAGAAGTCCTTGAGTGGGGACGGAGAGTCTCCTGAGTGGGCTCACTGGTTGAAGCCAATGGCACACTGCTCTCCTCATCCCTTGGCTATGGGAGCAATGCTAAGATGGCACGCTCCCAATGTGGATTTAGGACCCGCCACGGAGAAAGCCAAAGAGCACAAAGGGAAGGAGCCCACTGCCTGGCAAGGCCACAAGTGCCCAGAGAGGGCAGGGGAGGGAGAGGAGAACCAGGGCACGGATGTCACGGCTGACCATCTCTGAGCCCAGGGGAGGGTCTCCCTTCTCTCAGACTCATAATGCTACCAAGTGAAGCAGGACCAGAAGACCAGGTTGGGACAGTCGGAGGGAAAGGGAAGGGGGGCAGAAAACATCCAGTCCGTCTGGGCATCGACGGAGTAGATCCATGTGACGGAGCAGTGGCAGTGGCCCACCTGGGCCGTGGGCCCACACAAGCCAGAGAAATGGGATGGAAACTTGGTGCAGGGGATCCGAGGGGATCTCTGAGGGGCAGAGCAGGGAACAATTCTAGGGAGGAGACCCAGGAGAGATCCTGTCAAAGGACACAGACTGGCACCAGTGATGGGGGCAGCACCAGAGGTCGCCGATGACCTTCCACTGCCCTGCCTGCACACAGCTCTCTGAAGCCATGGCCTAGGTA